TCCAGTTCTTTTTCTCCTCAGCAGGTAAAACACTTCTGATGTCGTCTCTGATTCAGGAGTGGCTGGACTTGAGGAATAAGACACGTGTAACTCATGTCTAGGACTTCCTTGGCAGATTAGGTTTCGACACCAGGAGCTTACAAAATTGAACTTATTCACAATATTCTAATTCTCCGAGAGATTGATTTTCGATTTTTCATTATTTGCAAGCCATAATCTTCAAAATGACAAGAAATAAAACCTTGTCCTCCATGTGTAAGGAATCTATACGAGTTTCACTTTCTGATTCGATTGACCAAAAAAAAAGAGAACATTTTTATGATATTCTAATGTTGAGATGCACTTGTCATCCAGAATGAGGTCTGTATAATAACAAGATTTTTAAGTGACTTACAAACAACGGAAGTGCAAGGCAGAAGAGAAAATAAACACAGAATTCAAAGCTATTTTCCACAGAAGCTGATATCAAAAGTAGAAGTTAGCAAATATGGTGAACATTACACCAAGCAAGCTGTAAAAATATTGCCTTTTGTTTTTGCATGCATTTTTGCACATAGAAGTTTAATATTACGCTAATTTGTTTTTTTATCTGTCTGCCTGTGTACAGCCCGATCATTTTAATCTATTTTTGTCCTTTTATAAATAATAGAGACTCTGATTGCACATAATCCACAAGCTCCTGTGATTATTTGTTTTGCTAAACAAGGAAAATGCACCTTCTGATGCCAAAAATCCTCCCTCCTGCTTTTACTGTCAAGTGTCCAGCGTTGGCAAGGCTGGGAGAGCGTCAGAGACACCAAGGAAAATGTGCCAGACTTTGGTCAGGTTCATAACGTTTTTTTAACCACTCATGATTTAGATTTTATGTTAGGGACTGAAAGCTGGTAGAGTCTGGTTAAGTCCAGATGTTTTTCTGAACTTTTGCTTGTATAATGTACATTTTAATGCATTGAGGACTTCTGAACATGGAGAATTAGCTGTTGTTTTTAAGAAGGTGCTCATCTATAAACAACTTTTGACTTTCATCAATGCTTTGAAATTCTTATATCCGAGTTGGGTAGTTCCAGGCCGACTCTGTGCAGATGTTTACAGACTTCTGAAATATATTATAGGTTTTATTGACTTCTCAGAATTTCTGGCTTGAAATATGTCAAAATATGATCAGATTTTAACTTTAGTGATTTTAATATTCACATACGCTGTGCCACCAAACCATTTGTTAAATACCGGTGCTTTTTTAATAATATAAATTATTTTAATCTCTTAATTTGTGTTGGGTCCAACACAAGAATACAGCCACACTCTGGATCTTGTGCTGTCTTTTGGTTTGCTGGTTTTAAGCCTCTGAGAATCTGTATCCTCCTCAGCTACCCTCAAATGTGGAGGTCCCTAAGGATCTATTGTTGGACCCATTTTATTTCCCATTTCCATACTCCCTTTGGGGGGGGGGGGGGGGATCTTATTTTATTATTACGCTGACTACATTCAGATGTACTACAGTCAAAGGGCAACCTATCTTTTCCACTAAACCCCGTTTTACTACGTTATTAACCTTTATTTAACCAGGCAAATCAAATTGAGATCACAGATCTCTTTTGCAAGAGAGGTGTGGGCCTGAAGGCAGCCTAACACGCATGTTTTTGGTCTGTGGGAGGAAACTGGAGCACACAGAGCACACAAGCACGAGAAGAACATGCAAACGCCACACAGAAAGACCCCAGGTCCAACCGGGGATTGAACCCAGGACCTTCTTGCTGTGAGAAAACGGTGCTAACCACTGAGCCACCATACTTAACCGACGTTAAAGCTTGTATGACTTCAAACTTCTAAAAGTTCAATGAGAATAAAACTGAAGCTATTATTTTTTGTCCTGGTGGAAATAGCAGTGCTTCTCCTACAGATCTGGGTAGGCTGGAGCAGTTTGTAAAATCTCACAAAAAATGTAGGGGTGATTATTATTAATTTTGTATTTTAACCTTGACAATCAGATATGTTCTGTAATAAAGAGATCCTTCATTGAATTAAGGCCAACTGTAGTAGGTTTTAATCCTTAATGATTCTGAATGGGTGATTCTTGCTTTTATTACCTCCCAACTGAATTATTATAACTCTCTGCATGTTGGTATTGGCATGGGTGGCCTCTTACGACCACAGTTAGTTAAGAACACGGCACTTTGTCTTTGAACACAAACAAACAAAAAATATATACCAGTATGAGTATGTGCATACATGCACACACATTATTTTAACCCTTTTATTAACCGTCTCCGCCCTTCTCTCACACCCCGCTCCACAGCCATCCTTGTTCACAGTCTTGTGACTTCTCGGATTGACTACTGCAACTCCCTTCTTTACGGCCTCCCCAACAAATCTCTCCAGAAGCTACAATTGGTCCAGAACTCAGCTGCCC